GTCAGGTTAGTCGGTCTAATATGACAACCTATAGGTCAGGTTAGTCGGTCTAATATGACAACCTATTGGTCAGGTTAGTCGGTCTAATATGACAACCTATATGTCAGGTTAGTCGGTCTAATATGACAACCTATTTGTCAGGTTAGTCGGTCTAATATGACATCCTGTGGGGTCCAGCATTCGGTCAGATTAAAGAAGAAGTCAGAATATACAGGTCTTATTTTAAAGTTTGCAAAAGAAACATCAATAAAGGATGATGGCGATTTAAAAGGATGTAAAAACACAAAGGTCGTATATGGAGTTCATTGTTAACAACCATGTGATTATCCCAAATTGGCATGATGGAATTCTGGGATGTCTTATCAATGGAACACTTACATGAAAACATTCAAATTAATTAAACCAATGGTAGTAAAATTAATCAAAACCAATCAGGATAGCATTTGTAATATTCCATTGTGAGCTCTGCCCACCAGGTCGGACTGCCATCCTTCAGAATCTACAGAATTGTGAGCTCTGCACACCAGGTCGGACTGCCATCCTTCAGAATCTAAAGAATTTCCTTAGAGAAGTGTCTCTATGTAATTGACCAGATCTGTGTGTGTTGGATGAATTTGAAATTATTAACTGTAGTGTAAGTTTATTATCTCTATCGTTAACACATAGTTCTGAAACATGGTAGTGGCCATGCTTAAACATGACAACACCACAATCTCACAATTATTGTTCCTTGTGTGAAATGTTATTGAAGAAAAATATGAAGAAAAGCCTCCTTCCATTGGGCATAGATAAAAATATATGGAAAGAGATGGTCCAATGGAAGCTGTAATAATCGTGATCATAACATCATGTTCCGAAGGATGACAAGTTCATTTTCAATATCATAAGGCAGGAAATAACTAAGTGATGTCAGTTGCTCAAGTTTGATATTTAAAACATGAATGTATGATGTCTATAAGCTCATCACCTGCCTTACAACGTGGACAGGGGTTAACACAGCACAGCAAACACAATGTCGTACAGAGATGTTTATAACTTCACTGGTAATAACACATGTGACCAAACTTAAGTTTCCATCAAGTCACATGATAACAACATGTTATAAATAGTTAACTTGATTGCTTCACCACTTTAACCCATTCACCTCTAAAGTCACATGATAACAACATGTTATAAATAGTTAACTTGACTGCTACATGACCAAAACATTTTACTTATATGGTCATATACATGACCAAAATGCCACTACCCATGATGTGACAATGAAACATAATAATAACTTTAGCATGAAAATGCATTGTGATGCACAGCCGTAACAATAGCCACACAGGGCCTGTGTTTCTGCTCACAGCAACACAAACAATTTTACATGCAATAAATTTAAGCTTATGTTTTTAACTCAATGAAAACTCAATTCTAGTATCATGTAGTACTTACGACGGACTTTCACTGGAAAGAAGGTAAGCATAATATAAATTTTAAGAGGATGATAGCATGGTCAGCCAAAGGGAAACAATTCTAATATATGGCCCCTATGAGGGAGACAGTCAAAATGAGGCCAATTATAAAGGAAAGAATTGGTATGTTGCCCCTTTAAAGGAAACATTGATTATGTGGCCTCTATAAGGGGAACAGGTGGCCCAAATAAGGGAAACATTCTTTTTGTGGCCCCTATAAGGGGAACATGTGGCCCAAATAAGGGAAACATTTTATTCTGTGGCCAGTGTATGGGGAACATGTGGCCGGTGTAAGGGGAACATGTGGCCCAAATAAGGGAAACATTCATTATGATGCCCCTATAAAGAGAACATGTTGGCCAAGTAAGGGAAATGTTCATTCATAGGCCCCTATAAGGAGTTCATGTGGCTTAATTATGGGAAACAAACACTATGTTGGTCCTAAAAAGGAAAAATTCAGTATATACGGCCCTTATAATCATTGTATATCACAAATGAATGAACAGTTCCCCACAGCAAAATCAATAAGAACAGCATATTTTCTCTTTCAAAAACAAATCCTTATTTTAGATGTAATGGTGTATGTACTGTTGTACTGCAACAACTACTTCAGGTTTTACTAACTAATAAAAAGATGTACCATTTCAGGAAAACAACACTTAAGCTCCTTCACCTTATCTGAATATTTGTATTTAAGCTTTCAACTTGTAGCCTAATCTGGGCAGGAGAATGGACACACCATTTAGCAGTAGAGGTAACCTAGGGTGACAATTACCTTCAGCATCAATATATTCCACACAGGTCTCCACAAACTGCGGGAGGGAGGGGTTGGTCGGGGACATAGGGAATCCCTGCAGTCTACATCCACTTTCGGATATTCCCGCACCCCGACTGTCTTTTTTCTTGTTCTTCTTTTGCATCTTCTGCTGTTCCTTCTGCTTCCTCTCCTAAAACAAGAAGGTCAGAGGTCACTAATATATTATTTTTATAGCTTACAGAAAACATTATACAATGTATACATGTTTATCTCAGATTTCACCTCAATCACATGCTCAAAAGGATCGATACCAAAAGAAAACAAAAGAATCTCATTTAGTTTAACTTCTCTCTTTTTATCTTTGTTAGTGGCCTTATACTTGATGTAGTTTCTGTGCCCGATTCTAGGGCCTAAGAACATGACGAAGTGTAAGTCTGCGCCCTGTACGGAGTCAGATTCTGTACCTCTTCTGATCCCGCTGTAGTATCCTCATTATTTGGCTTCGTCACGGTTGAGTATGGCATCACTTGGACTGAGGCGCTACACCCCATAATGCTAGCAGGTACTGTCTGTCATACACAGACACATACATCAACAGTGTTTTCAGAATAAGCATGCCCCATAACACACAAAGTTAACATTCTCTGACTATAGTGTCATTGACAGTGACACCAATACCAACAGTAACCTTAGTGACAGGATAGAAAATACGGTGACACCATCTTTGTTCATCACATCCTTCATTCCAAAATATTCAGACGCCACATATTAGCCCACTTCAGAAAGCTAGAGAAGTCACATTGTAAATGATGGCTGTACTGGTCACTCTTTAGTCAGTGAACTTGAAGGACTATGACTGGTCGCTCTTTAGTCAGTGAACTTGAAGGACTATGGCTGGTCACTCTTTAGTCAGTGAAATTGAAGGACTATGACTGGTCACTCTTTAGTCAGGGAACTTGAAGGACTATGACTGGTCACTCTTTAGTCAGTGAACTTGAAGGACTATGACTGGTCGCTCTTTACTCAAACAGTACATACAGGTATTGTCCTGTTCCCGACCTGGATGATTAAAATATGGAAACATCTTTATACCTGGAGATATTGTACATTAACTGAAGCTTACTCCCAACTTTTATGTAAGAATATTGGGTTAACCATTCAATGGGAACACTACAGAGTTGGACATTTAATTCTACAATGTGAAACCTGGCAAGCTACATACAACGGACTATTAAACAAATTACAAATGAACATATTTTTTATTGAGTCAACATTTAATCTTCTTATACAAAAAAACCCCTGTTGTAACTGTGTTCTTTATGTAACAGCTAGGTGTTAAGCTCGTGTTTTGTTGTAAATCGTAAATCAGTTACCTTATTTTATTGTAATAGCACATGTTTGGTGTACACGTATAAAATTCCCACCCTCCAGTTTGACCATTGCTACAGCTGAGATTCATACTTAGAAAAAAGCATTTACAATTTTTTTATACTAGTGAAATAAATTTCTGGCATGAAAAAATAATATATTTTTTAATGTTCTATACAGTCAACTGACCAGACGGTGAACGGCAATTACTTTGAAATTAATACTAATAAAAACATGTGACTGTCATTATAATGGCATGGCCTGCATTGTTTGTTGACAACCCTTTGACATGAAATTATTTCAATTCAATAACATGTGTACCTCTTTCAAATTTTGTGAAAAGAGAGTTCTTTGTTTCTTGATCAATACCAACTACACCACTTGACATAAAAATTGCCCCATCCCTTACAAAATGTCCTATTTATTTTCTGTTCCAACTTACAGTAAAGTAACACTAAATACCCAATATTCTCCAGTAAAATAACACTAAATACCCAACATTCTCCAGTAAAGTAACACTAAATATCCAACATTCTCCAGTAAAGTAACACTAAATATCCAACATTCTCCAGTAAAGTAATCCAACATTATCCAGTAAAGTAACACTAAATATCCAACATTCTCCAGTAAAGTAATGCAACATTATCCAGTAAAGTAACACTAAATATCCAACATTCTCCAGTAAAATAACACTTAATACCCAACATTCCCCAGTAAAGTAACACTACTAAATACCCAACATTCTCCAGTAAAGTAACACTAAATACCCAACATTCTCCAGTAAAGTAACACTTAATACCCAACATTCCGCAGTAAAGTAACACTACTAAATATCCAACATTCTCCAGTAAAGTATCACTACTAAATACCCAACATTCTCCAGGAAGTAACAATACTAAATATCCGACATTCTCCAGTAAAGTATCACTACTAAATATCCAACATTCTCCAGGAAGTAACACTACCAAATATCCAACATTCTCCAGTAAAGTAACACTAAATATCCAACATTCTCCAGTAAAATAACACTTAATACCCAACATTCTCCAGTAAAGTAACACTAAATATCCAACATTCTCCAGGAAGTAACACTACTAAATATCCAACATTCTCCAGTAAAGTATCACTACTAAATATCCAACATTCTCCAGTAAAGTAACACTAAATACCCAACAATATCCAGTAAAGTAACACTAAATACCCAACATTCTCCAGTAAAGTAACACTAAATACCCAACATTCTCCAGTAAAGTAACACTACTAAATACCCAACATTCTCCAGGAAGTAACACTACTAAATACCCAACATTCTCCAGGAAGTAACACTAAATACCCAACATTCTCCAGTAAAGTAACACTACTAAATACCCAACATTCTCCAGTAAAGTAACACTAAATATCCAACATTCTCCAGAAAAGTAACACCACTAAATATCCAACATTCTCCAGTAAAGTATCACTACTAAATACCCAACATTCTCCAGGAAGTAACACTACTAAATATCCAACATTCTCCAGTAAAGTAACACTAAATATCCAACATTCTCCAGTAAAGTAACACTAAATACCCAACATTCCCCAGTAAAGTAACACTAAACATCCAACATTCTCCAGTAAAATAACACTTAATACCCAATATTCCCCAGTAAAGTAACACTAAATACCCAACATTCCCCAGTAAAGTAACACTACTAAATATCCAACATTCTCCAGTAAAGTAACACTACTAAATATCCAACATTCTCCAGTAAAATAACACTAAATACCCAACATTCTCCAGTAAAGTAACACTAAACATCCAACATTCTCCAGTAAAATAACACTAAATACCCAACATTCTCCAGTAAAGTAACACTAAACATCCAACATTCTCCAGTAAAATAACACTAAATACCCAACATTCTCCAGTAAAGTAACACTAAACATCCAACATTCTCCAGTAAAATAACACTAAATACCCAACATTCCCCAGTAAAGTAACACTAAACATCCAACATTCTCCAGTAAAATAACACTAAATACCCAACATTCTCCAGTAAAGTAACACTAAACATCCAACATTCTCCAGTAAAATAACACTAAATACCCAACATTCCCCAGTAAAGTAACACTAAACATCCAACATTCTCCAGTAAAATAACACTAAATACCCAACATTCCCCAGTAAAGTAACACTAAATACCCAACATTCCCCAGTAAAGTAACACTACTAAATATCCAACATTCTCCAGTAAAGTAACACTACTAAATATCCAACATTCTCCAGTAAAATAACACTAAATACCCAACATTCTCCAGTAAAGTAACACTAAACATCCAACATTCTCCAGTAAAATAACACTAAATACCCAACATTCCCCAGTAAAGTAACACTAAACATCCAACATTCTCCAGTAAAATAACACTAAATACCCAACATTCCCCAGTAAAGTAACACTAAATACCCAACATTCCCCAGTAAAGTAACACTAAATACCCAACATTCCCCAGTAAAGTAACACTAAATACCCAACATTCCCCAGTAAAGTAACACTAAATACCCAACATTCCCCAGTAAAGTAACACTAAATACCCAACATTCCCCAGTAAAGTAACACTAAATACCCAACATTCCCCAGTAAAGTAACACTAAATACCCAACATTCCCCAGTAAAGTAACACTAAATACCCAACATTCCCCAGTAAAGTAACACTAAATACCCAACATTCCCCAGTAAAGTAACACTAAATACCCAACATTCCCCAGTAAAGTAACACTAAATACCCAACATTCCCCAGTAAAGTAACATTTAAATCCAACAATTCCTATTTAAGTGATTCTACATACATAACAATCTTTGGTTACAATACACACCTAACAATCTTGAATAGGTAAACTCAACTTTGCACAAACTTTTCACAGACATGAAATTAACTGTGCATGACATTGAAATTGTATAATACACTATTACTTATCCTAACTAGTATAGGAACCGTTCACAAAACACTATAAGGCTCAAAATATACTCATATCAAGTACATTTGGTTTAGAAGTATATAAAACCACATTTAGCAACTTTCTATCACATGCCTGTGTAAACCTGTGATCAGGAAAGTTAACATACTAGGTACAGTTAATATGTAGGTAGAGACTAGGTGTTAACTAGTAGGTTATTAAGTTTCATGAAGGAGGTATCTCCTCGAAATCAATAATTTCCATCTTATCAACAGGAAACAAATGTTATGTATCCGTGGTAACACTGTCATGATCACATGACCAATCAATGTAGGTATCAGCTATTTCTGTACTTGAAAACATGTCCATAGTTTATATCTATTTAATGTTAATTAGCTTCAAAGTGTTCAGAAACACTCTGAATACCATCATTGTCATACAAATGATAGGACCTATACATTTTTATCATGTGATACCTTGACCATCATTTTTCTAAAATGTCAAGTCAAATACCCTCCCATAAGCTAAACATTTTAAAGAATTGTTTTAAAATCTGGGTAAAGTAACATTCTAGACAAACAAACCTCATTGTTTTAAACTCCCCAAAATTTCATCTCAAAACCTTGTTTTTAGATATTTTTCACAATTTGACTTCCGCCAAATACCAACAAACAAGTCCAACTCCAACAGATCTCTATCTTTAACTCTGTACATTCCTTATCCTAAATCATTGACCTGCTGCTTAATAAATGCAAGTAATAAATTCTGGCCTGATCTTTATATCTGTGTATCAATGAGTTCACGTGGGTGCATGTTGAAAGCTTTGTAAACATAAGATAAGTACATTTCCATGTATGGTGAGAACTTAATGAGTGTTGAGGATTCCA